AACTATAAATACAGTATAATCAAGTCAATAAATGAAAAGGAAGATGAAATTCCTTGTGTTGCCTAATTCTGATCTGTAGATACCCTTCACCCTGGTCACATGACTAAAGATGAGGGAGTCTCCTTTGACCTACCTTTGACAGTCTCTTTGGGGACAAAAAGTCTAATCTTTTCAGAAGTCACAAGCAATTTGATTCTCTATGACACATTCATGACTGTGTACTTGGCTGCATGGATTATTTTGAAATACACTACTCAGAATTTCTGGCCAGAATAAAAGGAGAATGGAAAAAAGCTACAGATCCTTTAATTGTGCATCACTCTTTTCTCTTCTGGATGCCATAATTTACCCGTTATTTCTAGAGTTTTATTCTTCCTGCTTAGAGAATCACTTATGAATTTGCTTCAATTTGCAGGCACCACTTCTACCCCTATGCTATCTATATTCCTATCATCTTACATCCTTGTTAATTATAAGACATAGGCTTACTAGATTATGACTATGTATAGTCATGTATCATCAACAAGTCAAAAGTGAATAGTTTTTTTGGCTGGATGTAATAGAATGCACACTAGACTCACAATTATACAACCTAGGTTTGAATTCCAGTTCTACTCAGTACTGCCTTGCCCTCTTTTCCTACTTGATGAAAGAAACTTCTTCTATACAAAGGAAAATTCCTTGGAATAAATGTAGAAGAAATGACATGACTAGAAAAGCACTGTTTACAGCCTTTAACAAAAAAATTGATTTAGACAAAAGTCATCAAAGGGGAAATAATAAAAGATTGATGGGACCAATTTGAATATAGCATCAGGCTATTGCTACCTGAAATATTGATCAATTTAGCATTGCTTAGAGTGGGATAGCTAAACAATATGTGCCTCCTGATTAGGGTGGCCAAATAAAATACAGGATGCTTAATGACATTTGAATTTCAGATAAACAATGAATAATGTTCAGTTTAAGTGTGTCCCATGCAATATTTGGGACACACTTATCCTAAAAAATGTTTGTTGTTTACTTAAAATTTAAATTTAATTGGGTATCTTGTATTTTTATTTGTTAAATCTGACAACCCCACTTGATGTAATGCAAAATTTTTAATAGTTTAATATAGTTTATAGTATGTGTAGCTTAATATAGTTAATGTAATTTAATACTTGAATCTAATTAAGCTTTTAGAACCAACTTCCAATCCGTAGGAAATACAGGATCTAAAAGAATAAATTAAATGATACAATGAATAAACAGCTATCCAGAATTTGAGAATTTGGCCTGGTTTTTAAACATGTCAACAAAATGAAAAAAATGGGGGGGAGGGGATAGTGAAATTCTCTAGACCAGTGACGCTTAAAGGAGGGTGATTTTCCCCCTAAGGGGTATTTGGCAATATTTAGAGACATTTTTGGTTTTCTCCAGTATAGTGGGTCGGGGGAGAGGATGTTTCTGGCATCTAGTGTGTACAGGCGAGGATCCTGCTAAACCTTTTCTAACACAGTGGACGATCTCTTCTTCTCAACCCTTTCCCCACCTCCATATAAACAACAAAGAATTATCAGCCCCAAAACATTAACAGTGCCACTGTTGAGAAATTTTGGTCTAGACTAAAAGACACTTTAGAGACTTAACAACCGGATGCAACCAAATGAAAATTCAAACAAACCATACTGTAAGGTAGAGCATTTCTACGAGAGAAGTCAAGGCAGCTATTTAAAAATGACAAGTAGAAGAATGTTTATTGATATGAGAAAAGTTCACAATACATTGCTAAGAGAAAAAACAAACTGGTATAAAGAAGTTTGTATAGCATGATCTCATATTATTAAAGAGGTGAAAAGACTACAAAAATCATCACCATCCCATCTTTGCCAAAAACATAAGTGTACGTGTATGTAAACAGATATACACATATGAATGCATGGGAAGAAAATAGAAAACAAGTCACCAAAATGTTAATAGTGTTGATATTTCTAAGTTGAAGATTATAAGTAATTTATGTTTTATTTTTCCTTTTCTGTGCTTTCTATCTATAATGAACATGTATTACTCTTTTAATCAGAGGGACAATATGATTATTTTAGGAAGAAAATTCTTATTCTGTGTTGAAGATCTTTATGGTAATCCCCTTTTGTATGGTAGAACTGAAATGGCTCCTCAAACATTTCCCATTGGTACAGAGACCATCCTGATAGAGCAGACTATGCTGAGTGAGAAACTAAACTTACTGGAGTAGAGATTTGCTATTTCATTCTCTCTCCAGCAAGATCAGAGAATGAACCAAAAGGAACACGAGGAATGGATCTGACAGCATCTTCTGACATTTTCAAGCATGGGAGATGGATCTCCCTAAATGAGAGAGTTAGACTGAGATGTACGTCCAGTGAGACCTAAGGATGTTGGCTATAGGCTGAAGCTGGACAGGAGAAGTCCTGGCTGCTATAAATTTCTGCTTGCCCTGATCTTATTTGAACAAGTTTCATGAAGCTGGTTTCTCTCTAATCCTGAGAAACTAAAATTTAGGGTTTTCTCTTTGTAAATGTATTCAGTATTCACATGATTTACTTGCTGAAAACTCAATGCAGTATTAGTTACTGAAACCCAACAATCCCCAACAGTAAGTAAACAAATGAAAGCATCTCCCTCATCTGCTACCCAAATTCCTAATGGAGCCCTTGAGACAAGATCTAAGGTTTTCTCTTTACTACTTCTTAGTACCCTGGAGAGATTTTCAAAGGGAGGCTTCCAGGAGACTTGGAACAGAGAGATTTACTCCTCTTGGGAAAAATAAGTATCCAAAGCTCCTGAAATCTGGAATTTAAGAGACTGTACTTTTTCCTGGGCCACTTCCCAAGCCAAAGGAACCAATGCCCCCAGCCTCAAGGAATATTGCAATAATTTGAGGTTCTCTCTAATACTAGAGAGAGTTGAATTTTACTTGCTTTGCGGGTTTTAGCTTCCTTTGTAATTACCTCTTGAATGCAAGATGTTTTCATCTGCTTCCTCTGAATAGACTCAGCCCCTTCGAAGAAATCTTTTAAAGATCACTATCTGGAAAGTGACTCCTTCTCCTTCCTATTATCAAGGTCAGAAGCAGTGAGTGGCTGTTGGCAGAAGTAAATGAAAATGAAATGCCATGTGTATTTTCCAAAATCTTATTATTTTCCCTCTATGGTCTTCAGTATTTGTTTGCTTGTATTGATTCTCATGTCCATTAATATTATATTTCTTTATGCTTATATTGCTGTGGTAATGGATTCAAGGACATGAAATTTAGCAGAGATGTGATAACGATCTTCAACTATTTTAAGTACTATCAGGTTGAAAAGGAAATAGAAGATGGGATAACATGGAAGATGGCAAGTTACAGGGAGACAGATATTGAGTCAACAGAAGTAAATTTTTCTAAGAATTAAAGCCATTCAAAAATAGAATTGATGATAGTGTATCTGTGTGGATATATATAATGGTATAGAATGAACCACTGGAAACGAAAAGAGTGAGCTAGATCTACAGTGCTGTTATGGAAAGTATTCAAGATATGGCACTAAAGGAAACAAGCTAGCTGTAAACTGGTATGTGCAGTCTAATTCTATTTGTGTAAAATTGAAGTGATATGGAAGTATGCATAATTGTACATAGAAAATTTCTAGACAGAAATAAACAAATTTAAAAAAAACCATGAATCATGTTTACCTCTGGACCAGAGAATGCAAAATAGAGAATGAGAAAACTAACTTTTCCATTTATACTATTCTGGATGGATGGCTATTTTTCCCTTAAGCATTTTTATAATATAAAAAGATTAGTTTTATTTTTTTAAGTAAACTTAGTATCTTCAAACAAAAGAGGGGATGCTAACTTGTAAGATAATGAATTCACAATGATTGGAAGCACTGAAGCAGAATTTGGGGGACTATTTGTGAGGAATGTTGTGCTTTTAAAGTTACCCCCTAACTCTAAGGTCCTGTGATTCAGTTATATTTAAAGGATTTAAGGCTACCAAGCACATGAGTTTTTACAGCTTGCTTCCAATTGGAAAGACTTGAATAATGAAATGTATACGATTAACCCCTTGCCCAGGATTGATTGTCAGGTCTAAGCAGAAAATGATTTCTGTAGAAGAACATTTTTTCACTTTTTTAGGGTACAAAAGATATTTTTGGCTAAAGATCCAGAATCCAAGGAAACAGAAAATGATGTACAGTGTTGCTTTTCTCAATGACACAGATTCCACAGAAAGTGGAAGATATCCGGTTTATAATTCTGAAGAAATTTGAAAAAGAATTCAGAGTCTGGTAGTGAGTCAGACTGCTTGTAAAAATTCACATCTAAACACAAGCTAGAAAACACACAGAAATACATACGTCCATGAGAACTAGTTACAGAGAAACAGTTAGCAATTGAAGTACACTATGGAGAGCTTGGATTGCTAGATTGTATCTAGTCCTGAGGAGAAGATTTTCCGAGCAAGAGGAGACTGGAGTTAAGTATTGAAGAAAGAGGAATATGGCTTGTTGAAAAAACAATGGAGGGGAGCAGTCAGGCTTGAAGCTATTGAATGATTTGTGAAAAGGGTTTATGAACAATGCAGATAAATGGAACAGGGAGAAAGCAAACACTGACATCTTGTTGGAGCAGAGAGCATTGACTTGCCTGGCAATTTAGAAGGGAAGATTTTTAAGAAGATGATCAAAATTGTGGCTTAAACAAAGTGGAAGAGGTTGGCAAATTTATTTTAGGTAAAGAAAACTATGAAACTGTAATCTATGAGAAAATTCTTTTCAAACTTAACTATGCATTTTCTATTTCTTTAACTTCAGTTTCCGCCTAACACCTATGTTCTAACTCACCTGGGAAATCTTTTCCAAACTTGCCCCCAGTGTCTTTCCTTCTATCTTATCCCATACCTGCTTGTTCCTTTGTACCTTTATGCATAATTCTCCGTACAAGAAATTGTTTCCTGATTGTGTTTTTCTATCTTTTACCTATAGGTGATCAGTAGTCCCCATCAACCTGGCATCCATCCAGGAGCAGATCCTTATTATCTCCTTTTCCTTGAGTTCTCCTGCTCAAAGCATTGGACAGAGTTATTCTGACTGGTTGGCCTAAGTCTTCATCTTTTAGACCTGGAATTTATCAATGAAGAGAGAGAACCACACAGTGGTGACTGAGTTTATTTTCCAGGGTTTCTTCAGCTTTCATGAACACAAGCTCACACTCTTTGTGGTATTTCTTACCCTTTACCTTTTAACCCTGGCTAGCAATGTCATCATTGTGACAATTATTGGCATTGATCGTCACCTTCACACACCCATGTACTTCTTTCTTAGTATGCTTTCCACTTCAGAGACCGTGTACACATTGGTCATTGTACCACGGATGCTCTCCAGCCTTATAGGTCTGAGCCAACCCATCTCTTTGGCTGGCTGTGCCACCCAGATGTTCCTTTTTATCACTTTGGCCATCAACAATTGCTTTCTGCTCACAGCAATGGGATATGACCGCTATGTAGCCATCTGCAATCCCTTGAGGTACACGGTCATCATGAACAGAAGAGTATGTACCCAGCTGGTGTGGGGAGCCTGCAGCATTGGGCTACTTGTGGCCATAATTCAGATTTCCTCTGTGTTCGGGCTGCCTTTTTGTGACAGAGAGGTGGCCCATTATTTCTGTGACATCCGCCCAGTTATGAAACTGTCCTGTGCTGACACCACTCTGCATGACATAATGAATTTTATCATCAGCTCACTTGTTATTGTGGTGCCCAAGGGTTTGGTCTTCATCTCCTACATCCTTATCATCTCCACCATCCTCAAGATTGCTTCTGCTGAAGGCCGGAAGAAGGCTTTTGCAACTTGTGCCTCCCACCTTACTGTAGTCATTGTCCACTATGGCTGTGCCTCCATTGCCTACCTCAAGCCCAAGTCAGAGAACATGAGAGATCAGGACCAGCTGATTTCGGTGACCTACACTGTTTTCACTCCTCTCCTTAATCCTGTGGTGTACACTTTGAGGAACAAGGAGGTCAAGGATGCCCTTCACCGTGCTATTGGCAAAAAACCTCTTGCCTAGAATCTTTGGTAATTTGACATATACCCTATCATGCTCTGGATATTTTTGTAATCTAAAAAAAATTTGATCTTATCCTTTATCCCCTACCCAGAAAGAGTTGCAGAATTTGGTGGTAAGCCTGCATTAATGAATCAAGAGTTTCCCTGACTTGAATTTTGTTTTTACCATCATTCTCCGATACCTTCTACTAATCTCGTAGGTTACCACTAGGGGAATGATTAGATGCTGCTCACAAGGTGAAAAACTGGTAGGAAATAGTAAGCAAGAGGGTAGTTGATTGTTATCAGTGTGTTGATGGCAGAAAAGTGGGCTGCAAATGCCTATTTGAAGTGTTGGGTTGAAAGATCAACCTAAATGTCAGGTAGACATTGAGCTCTAAAACTTCAAAGAGAGCACGGTTGGTGTACAGGATGTGTCAGAAATACAGTCGAAACCACCTTTCCCACTTATCATCACTTTCTCCTTTGGGCAGTGACAGGTGTAACAGATCCTGACATTCCAGAAGAAGTATTGTCAGCTTTAAACATCCTCACTTGCCTTGGAGACCCATGAAATTTTTTTTCAATTTTGTTGAAGCTTACATTACAGCTGTTTCCTTGGTGAATCTCGTATATTCACATGTTAGTAAGTAACTTGTCACATCCAGCAACTGTGTTTCACTGCAGTTATATGTGCTGTCTATGGGGTAATGCATATACTAGCTTGTATTCACATATGTAGGGACATCTGAAGATCTTTTTTGAAATTAAAATTTATTAATCTCATCTCACAACTAACTCTAGCTGCCTCAGATCTGGAAATTAGCCCATAATTTTTATTCTTCTCTCTGTGGAGCCTGAGCTGATATCCATGTCTTTCCTTTACCCTCTTCATTTCTACATTATGAACTCATTTTCTGTGAACAGTTGGGTGCCTAGTTTAAACTCTAAGTTTAAACACTTGTCTAAACAAGACTCTGGGAGTCTTCCAATTCCCGTTGTCACCGCCTTCTAAATGGGAAAATTGCATTGATTTGTGAGAAAGGTTTAAGACTTTGGGATTATTTGGCCTGGACTAAAAAGGGGCAAAATTTGCCAAATGTCCTCCTGTCCATAAAGGGCTGATGCTAAAAAATAATAATAATATTAATAAGAAGAATAATCGTCATCATCATCTGTATCTCACATGCGCCATCCTTTTCATGCTTAAGGACAGTCCAAATGTCCCCACTGAAGATGCATTGAAAATGCATGTCAAACAAAGGATTTGGGGATCCCTAAGGGTAGAAGGGCCAAGACGATAAATCTTCGTATTTATGGAGCATTACCTGAAAGAACTAAAGCCTTCCCTCCTGGGAGCAGCTACTTCCAAGAGACAACCCAAGAGTGAGTGTCAAGAGGGCAGTTTATCTTTTCCTTTATTTGGGTTCGCTGAGAACACCTCCGAATCCATCTGGGCTACATTTAAGGGAAACACTCACAACCCTCCTTCTGAGACAGCCCCATTTGAGATTCTCTCTTTGGGGGTCCTGCTCACTATAGTAGCCCTTTGCTGAGAGCCTCTCCCAGCAGTTATGTCATTTTTATAAATTGCTTAATTTTTGCACACAGAACCCCCATAGGACCTCCCACAGCTGTACGGGACTATAAAATTGACACCCATACTAAAAGCATAGTGTTCCCCTGAGTTCCTATAGTTTGATGCTGCAGAAAATTACCGTGCAATTCACCCAAAGTAATGTTTGCAACAATAAAGAATGTATATTAAAGGCCTACCTATCCTTTGTCTTTTTTAAAAATGTAGCTTATACCATCTTAACAGAGCAAGAAAAATTTGAATCAATGCATTTAATTTCAGAGAGAATGAGTGAGTGCTTATCACTAAATACAAATCGTATCTGAAGAGAGTTAGGCTTAAGGCCATATCTTGGGCTTTGTCACCACATAGCCATTACTTCCATAAATCAGGGACTGCCAATTCAGGAGGTTGCCGCTGTAACATGAGGCACACATCTCCTTCAGGGAAAGCACATGATCCCACAAGGACACATCCCATATCTCCCCAACAAAGGATTGTTTTGCATCAAAACGTCCCCCAAAGGAATCCTGCTCTTGTCCTAGGATGATCTTTGCCTCTGCCCCCACAGAGTACCCCTTTCTCACACCCTTCCTTCCCATGGGCTTCCCATCCACCCAGAGTTCAGCAATCCCAGAGGCAGACTCCCAGCTGGCACAGACATGGATTGGGGCATAAGGAGATGGGGGGGCCTTGAAAGTGACCCCAGTATTCCCAATGTACAGTGTGTACTGTCCTATTTTGTTGACAAAGAGAAGCAGCTCATTGTCCTTGACCTTGGTGCTGTAGGAGAAGAGGCTGTAGGGGCGGGTGAGGTCTGTGAAGGCTTTCAGGCACAGTGTGAAGCTCTTCAGTGGCTTCTTCACCCTGGGGATCAGGGATACATAGGCTGTGGCTGATTCTTCAGGAAAAATAAACACCTTCCCTCTCAAGTCTGTGGAGAAAAGACAATGTGACAAAAATGCTGTTGATTCTCTTGTTTAATTCCCTCTCACTATGGACTATAGGCTGCCTCCTGATAAAGTATATAGCACTCTGGAGTTTACAAGCTGCCTGTAAGTGCGTTATCTCAGTGACCGTATAAACAAAATGCTAGTGTTCAAAGCAGGTTTTGGTACAGCTGTCATGTTAGAAAGAGAAATTAAAGATATTCTATATCAGCCCCCACTCCCATCTTCTTTGCAGATTTCATCCATATAGAACAGCAAACACCAGTCATAGAAAATGAAACACAGCTGACTCATTGAGTGAAATGGACAAAGTATGTAGCACCTCATATTCTCCCACCACTGATCATATTCTGATATGTCTCCCATGGGACACTTGTGGCTGGGGTTAGGTATAATTATAATGGCTCTCCTTAAACCATGGTTTGGCTATGCTAGACCAACACTCATAATGCCAAGTCTAAGGGATAGAGTAGTATGCAAATCATATGGCACTTTATATGTCCTCACCTTCCTCTCCACTCCCTTTTTGCATCTTTTATGTGCCTGCTTAGGATCCATTTCCCGCTGCTTGTTTCCCCATGGCTGCAACATCAGGATCATGGAATTACTTATCATTGACTTATTTCCTCTAAAGACCCATGAGAGAGGAGGACTTAATCGTTATAAAATCAACTTTTTTTTTTTTCTTGCTTAGGAAAGCAAATTTAACAAATAGTATGGTCTGGAAATAAATTAGAGAATAATGACTAACTGAATCAAGGGAGACACAGCCTAGAAGCACTATGAAGTCCTGAATTGAGTTAGTTTTGCTTTATAGAAGGAAATGGAGAAACAGCATGAGTTCCTTCTTCCTTATATACAAGGTTTCTCTAGGAAATGATCATCCTGGACAAAGAATAGGAACAGAGATAGGGAGAAGGAGCTAGGAAGGTATTACAGACTTAAATATTGAAAGAGAGAAAGAGAGAGAGAGAGAAAGAGAGAACGACAGAACTTCATTCAGTACAACAGGAATTAGGAGGATGGGAAAGTAAACCAAGAATTTATACCTTGTGATCAAATTATCTCCATGTGTGTGATTTGTGACTTTGTTGGTATACAAACCTCGAGCAAAATAGCATGGTTAGCCAGAGAGTGGTGTTTTGAATAGCTTATTGCTGATAGTGATATGATGGAGAAGTGTGTGTCTCAAACTTGAGAAGATGAGGTTGCGGTTAGCGGAAGTAGTAGAAAGGAAAAAAACAAAGTGTGGCAGAACATGAAAGCTTTTTTACTCCTAGTAAAAACTAACTTTTTGTAACATTTATGCATCACAAATTACATTTTGCCTTTAATTGATCTCACTCAATCTTCATCACAAGTGTTTGCAAGATTGATGCCACTTTTGTCCCCATTTTATAGATGAAGAAACTGAAGATCAGAGTTCAGCAGCTTCACAAAGGTAATTCAATCAGTTTGGGAGAAACTGGTTCTCTGAGTTAAAGTCCAAGATTCGTTGAAGATTTCATACTTCCTCTCATGTGACCCAGACTAAAGGATTGAGAAAGATCAGAGAGTGAACACCCCAAACTTTGCAATGACCTCTTCTTCTAATAAAAGCTGCACATCCCTTCTTATTCTCTCAGGTGGGAAATAACGGTGTTCCCATGTAGTAAGCAAAGCCAGCTCTTCTTTCTCTAGCCCTGGAGCTTCTTTAGGCCGGGCATATCCTTACTCATCAGCATCTGTGGTGGTTTTAAAAATATGTCCAAAAATAATTCTTTTCTCCTTGATTGTAGGCTAACTCATTGCTAATGAATAGAATACAGCAGAACTGAGGCATGTGATTTCTAAGATTAGATATGAAAAGACTATGACTTTTGTGCTGGCACTTTCTGTCTCTACCTTGGACCACTCACTATTGGAGAAGCTAGCTTCCATGTTGTGGGCTGCTCTATAGAAAGGCCCATGTGGAAAGGAACTAAGGGAAGCCTCTGGCCAATAGTCATTGAGGAACTTGGGCCCTCAATTCAACAGTCTGTAAAGAATCCTGACAGTAGTCATGTGTGGGAGCTTGGAAGCAGTTCCTCCCCTTGTCAAGCCTTCAGATGAGATAACAGACCTGGTTGATTGACTTAACCTTGTGAGAGAACTTGAATCAGCATCATCTAGCTAAGCTCCTCCCTGATTCCTGACTCACAGAAAGAATGGGATAACAAATGTTTGTTGTTTTCAGTGGCTAAGTTTTGAGGTTATGTTTCACAGAGCAATAGATAACTTACATACCGTCTTTCATTCACATCTTCCCCAAAACAACAGCAGCAAGAATGACAACAAAAGGTGCTGTCCTCCAGTTTCCCTGGGATTTGGAGAAAACTTTTTCCCAAGAAGGCTCAGTAACTACCTGATTGTGTTGCACCCTCTGAGAGAATGGTGAGGAGCAGGATAGTCAGAAGGAGCTTCTCCATGGCTCTCTTCTTCCGTCTTCAGGAGTAGTGGGAGGGATAGCAGCAGGCATAGCAATGTCAAGATGCTCACTGTTTGGCTCTTATATTGTGCTTTTAGGGGCAAAGCCTTTGTTCCAGCAACAGAAGGCAAAGTTATAAATGGTAAACATTAACTGAACCAGGATATGATTTAGAAACAAATTTGTTTGCTTTTTGGTCTATTGTTTCAGTTGTAGGGTCTTTCCCTTCTCTTTTAACTGTTCTATTTCCTGCTGAGCTGTCCTGTTCATGTCCTCACAAGGAAAGAGTCTCTCTCCTTCTAAAGGAACATTTTATTACCTAATGTGTGTAAGGAAATTGTGGCAGTTGATCGTTAGTTCTGTTAGATGAGCATACTTGCAGAGCTGCTGGAGGGACCATTTCCCCTCTGTGCTCAGGGGATGGGGTATT